TGTCAGTTTGAGAGCAACCTGGGCTACAAAGTGAGCTCAAAGCCAGCCTGAGCTGCATAGAGAGACCTTGTCTCAAAAAGACAAAAAACAAAAAAAACTTGTTCAACCTCCTGAAGTCAGTGAGCACTACAGTTAGGACACAAAGTCACTACAGTGAGTCTTAGGGATCTCTTTGAGAATTTGGTGAAAAACATGGTCATTCTTCAGAAAAAATATATGAAGTGTCTCATAAATTTTAATGACTTAGAAGTTCACTTACGGATGCTGGGTAAAGAATAACTATATTGGAATGACTTGACTCACTACAAAAGTACTAGTTGCAAGAAAAAAACAGCCAGATTCAACAATCTAATATTTTAACTGATTTTATTCTATAGAAACATAATTTATGCTTCTAGCAAATGGGTATGTCTTTATCATAGACTAGTGAGCATTATTAACTAAACCTTGAAGGAAAGACAAAGTATGTAAGGAAATATAATCCAGTGTGCTAGTTATAACCAGACCCATACATTTCTGTGGGTTGTGGAGAGTAAAATAAAAGGATAGACATGAACAAAGAAATCATATTTTTAGAAAAACAATATAACCAGGGCTTTCAAAGTCCATGTAAAGGATAATTGAGGAGTTTCTAATGTTAGGCAGTAGAACTCTCGGACAGTAATAGAGGAAAAGGAAAAACTTGTCCAAGTTTAAAGACTGATTAGGTAAAGGTAGAGAGGGAGGAATTAAGAGCAGCTTGGAGCTTTCTATGGATGGTTAGGTAAAGAGATACAATAATTGTGGTAGGTAACAAAAAAGATAGGACTTGAGGTAGAAAAAAGCAAAACAAAAATTGTATTTGCTCATATTTAAAATAGAACTAAGACATCAATGTGGAGATGTCTAGTAGTTGGAAATGTGATTAAGAGTTTAATAAACAGACCAGGTTAAATATGCAGGAGTCAAAGATACAGACATAGTTGAAGAAATTAAGTGGGTGAATTATAAAAAGAGAGCTCACAGAGGGTGGCACTGTCTCTATCCGGCATTTCTAGAGGAGGCTTGATATGGACAGCATTACGGGTGACATGCAAAGACTGTTGGCTCCATCCAGAAAAGCAAGAGTGGTGGCTGAGTTGTGAAAAAAAGAACCTATTCTGGCGTGTCCTCCCTTATGAAGCCAAACATACCTACCACCTGAAGATCACTGTCAGTTGAAATCCTATATTAAAAAAATTTTAGCTCGTCTCTTCCTGGTAATCAGCAACATCTTCCTAGAAAACTGTCATACAAAGTTCAGTCTCTTGGCACATTTAGCTGATGACTTGAGTGTCTAACTCCAGGCTTCACCAGATGTGCATGGTCAAAGATGCTCTTATTTATATTATTCTGTGACAGATCTAAATCTCCTGAACTTAATACCAGTAATTTGTCTCCCAATTTGTAAATCACTTGGCGCTACTGGTCAATTCAGAAGATAAACGCACTGAAATCATTTTTGGTTTCCTGAGCAGGGAGCTTTTTTTTTTTTTCTCATATCATGAAGCAATAAAGAAAGAAAAGGATTTTCTCTTTTCATATTTGCTGAAGCCATTTGTAATTGAATAAAGTCAGTAACAGTTTATAGAAATTTTCTCCATCAAAGAACATTGTCATTAACTTGGATTTAAGACAGGTGGCCAGCATAAGTTCAGGTGTGGTCTATATCCTTCATAGGCATAAGGCAGTAATTGGAAGAAAATGTTCTAATCCTATTATAACTCTTCAATCTAAAATGGAATTATTATATATAGTACATATATAAAATAAAGAAACAGTTTAGACCTTTATAAAAGAAACAAAGTCAATGTTATAGATTATAGAGAGGTATTTCTTTCCCATTTGATTTAGCATGAGTAGAAATAGAAAATTCACTGCAACTTCTTGCTATTAAAGTAGACTTTAAAAAAAAGAGAGAAAAAAGTACGATAAATAAAATGTTGAAAGATTTATAATCAGAGGCCTTTAGAAGACTAGAACAAATAGGGTGTATATTCACATGTGTGTGTGTGTGTGTGTGTGTGTGTGTGCGTCTAAAAAGTTTTATTTTAAGGAGCTGGCCCACAGGCCAGCTGATTGTAGGGACTGGCAATCTGAAACCTTGTAGTGTAGGTAAGCCTGAGATTTTTAGGATGAGCCATCAGTAGACCAGAAATTTAGAAACTTGAGCAGGAGTCAAAGCTGCAGTCTTAAAGCAAAATGTCTTTTCTAGGAAACCAGTTTTTTGTCCTTACTTGAGGCCTGCCACCTTACCTTCTAAGTCCACTGATTACAGCTGTTAACCACATCTACAAGTGTTTTCACAGCAGCGCCCACAGGAGTGTTTGATTAAACAACTGCAGACTACAGCCTAGCCAAGGTAACACTTAAAAGTCGCCATCATAGGCACAAAGACAGATCCAACATTCAACGGGAAAACGAAGCCTGCAAATACTGACAAGTGGGCAGGGTTCCCAGATGCCAAAAATGTAGATACCGGAGTGACAGTGTCGAGCGCTATCAAGGGACACATGAAATAAGACCTAAACCTGTTCATGGACTTTGCTGTTTGGTAGTTAACTGTGACCTGGCAAGGTCTGTTTGGTGGTGTTTGGGAGAGGGGGTGGCTTGCAGTCCGTTGAAAGTGACAGAGTAGAAGCAAACAGATGAGTAGAGTATGTTTTTGTAACAAAAATAATTGAAATGTTCCAAAGAGTGTTTCCCTTTCTTCAGCGAGTCTGCCGGAGGCTGAAACTGTGCGAGGGGCCAGTTTCAGCGGGCCAGTTTTAGACCTTTATAAAAGAAACAAAGTCAATGTTATAGATTATAGAGAGGTATTTCTATAGATGTAGATGTGGTTAACAGCGTGACCAGAAACAGGTGCGGTCATGCTGTTTAGGTGCCGTTAGCTTCGTGTCACAGACGACAGTTAGACATTATATAAGCAACACTGCCAGTACTTGTAGGAGCTACAAGAGCATTTATAGAAAAGCTTTAATGCTTTGTAGAAAGAAATGCCAATACAATCTTTATGAAATAGTTTTACTTTAAAAATAAGTTATAATTCAAAGACCTTTCTTGTATTGGGAAAATCAAACCATGCCTAGTTTTGTTAAGTTTGGGTGACTGAGAACAAACACACTTAATAATAAAAGTACGGGCTGGGGATTTAGCTCAGTGGCATAAGCGCCTGCCTGGCAAGCGCAAGGTCCTGAGTTCGATCCCCGGTACTGCAAAAAAAAAAATAATAATAATAATGAAAGTGCATTTGCACTTGATACAAATAGATGTATAGAATTATTTCACCATGGTAATGGCATAGAACTTAAAGTTGTTGATTATCCAAGTACACATTCATTTGTCTCTAATGACCTCAAGGAAAAGTATTGTTAGGAATGAAAATGCCATCCAAAATACACGAATTTCACAATTGGCAGAAATTTACTGGACATATCTTTTTTGTTGTTGTTCATTTACACAGCCCTGTCTGCCTTCTTTCCTACTCTCCCTCACTTCTCTGCCCAGTCTGTTTCACTCATAGTAAACTTACAGCTTCCTCACCTCTCAAATGCAGTTGAAGTCTTTTAGCATAATTCCCTGAAACGGGTGTTTACTTGCAGTCTGCACAAGGGACCCACCCTTGGCTGGTCCCTTCTTAAGGCCAAAGAATGTTATATTCACCCACTGTGTCCCTCATGCACAATGGGGCCTGGCTCAAAATAGGAGCTCAGTGACTATCAGTTGAAATAACAATTAAATGAATGAATAACAGACATGTAATCTTAATAAATTCTCAGAAAAAAATCTTATATGTTTCTCTTAACTAAAAATATATGAACAAATTATTTGGACCTCTCTGTGGCTAATTAGGGGGATTCTTCCAGCATTCAGAGAAAAGTCATTGTATCTACAAATTAAAATAAAAATATTTTAAAATATCTGTTTAAGCTAGGATTGGGATAGAGTACCTTTGTTCCATTTATAAGCTAATATTAGGCGTTAGGTTTTGTTGTTGATGAAAATTATAATAAATAATTCTACAGATCCACTATGTGCATATATTTTGGTAAATGGGCTGCCTTTTGTTTTTTCTGTAACTCATTTAAAAGCAAGGGATTGGGGCTGGGGATTTAGCTCAGCGGCAAAGCGCCTGCCTGGCAAGTGCAAGGTTGTGAGTTTGATTCCTGGTACCGGAAGAAAAACAAACAAACAAAAGAAGGGAGGGACTAAATCAAGTAAAATGATTTGAAAGAGGCAGGAATAACACTTTTTTCAAGGCAAAAGTAAAAAAAAAAATACTGTCCAGAAGTACAGTCAAGGTCAAAGTGCCTCTGAAATAAATAGTGACAGAACATCTTTTTTGTTTGTTTGTTTGTTTGTTTGTTTTTCTTCCGGTACCAGGAATTGAACTCACGACCTTGTGCTTGTCAGGCAGGCACTGTGCTGCTGAGCTAAATCCCCAGCCCCTGTGACAGAGCATCTTAACAAGCAGAAAGATGAAAAGATAGTGCAGGAAGGGCCTTGTCATGGCTGAAAGTGTCTTAAGAGTTCCCCCAAATGGAGACTAAGGCTTGGCTTCCCAAGGAGGGCCCTGCAATTTTTCCCCCTGGCTGGCAGTACCAGCTGCTCCTCCCCACCTCCACCCAGCATCATCGCCTGCAGCAGGCTCTCCTGGCCCTGAACAGTCGCGCTCAACCTTGAACTCTTACTATTAGTAATCGGTGTGCCCACATTAAACACCTGTTAGGTACAGAAGAAAACTCTAAGGGTTTTTATCAAGCAGAATTGATCACTTTTTAGCCTTAGGTCTGTAGTCAAAACATTGGCTGTGCATATCCTGTGCAAAATATCATCTAGTGTGGCCAGCAGAATGGAATAGTAATACAATCCTCCTTGAGAAAATTATTAGTTTATTTTGTTCCTTTCACCAGGACTCAGCCAGACAATTCTCCAATACCAATATACATTTGCTTGACTTTGGGGATAAAGAGAAAAGTTACCAGTGAAGTTCTTTGACACTCGAGGATTCACGTCTCACTCTACGTTTCTTTTTGGTCACATCCATAAGAAGGCACGATAACACAGTGGCTGAAAGCTTTGCAGTCAAATGTAATCATGGTCAGATTTTAGAACTAAACACTATATATTTTAGTTTCATCACTAACAAGCCATATATATACAAGCCATATATATACTGTAGCAATATATATCCATCTAACACGGGTCTTAGTACTACAGGGGTACCTGGATTCACAAACACTTGTTGGTGAATCATTTGGTTCACAAACAGAAGCACTTGGTAAAATTTTGTGTTTGTTTGCAAATTCTGCACTGGGTAACAGTCATGACCTCAGCCATCTTCCCTAAACAAACGTAAAAGTGGTCATCTTTTCCAGGCTTGCGGAACGAATTAAGTATGTGAACCAAGATACCAGAGTCTATGGAAGACAACCAGAAATGCTACTGATTATTTTTAATGGAACATTTCATCTAAACCTCTCATTTAATACATAACCATGAGACTCTGAAAGAATGTCCAAGGCCAATAAATATAGCTAGCAATAAAGTCAGGAATAATTAAGCTTTACTCTGAGAAATAAGCATTTTAGAGAGCATGCTAATATATTTATCATATATTTCATAATAGTCCAAGCATTCAAAAAATTTAATTAGTTGATACTACTTCTACTACAATTGTGGTTTACAAGGCCACAATTTTCTCTATTTCCTGCACAAACATCAGTTCTGTCTCACAGGTAGCACTTAACCTAATTGTTTCCTTTGCTTTTCACTGGAACAGTTTTCTTTTACACTGATCGTTCCAGGAAAATATACTTGTTTTAGTATATTTCAATTGCCTTTCAGTTTACTTTCTCTGTCGTCCTTTGTTTCTCTACTTTTTTCCTGTGCTACTCTTCAAAATACAGGGACACGGTCCTTTTCCCTGCTTTTGAGGAGTGTACTGCACTGACTTACCCTCACTTTTCTCCTGGGTTCATCTCCAGTTTTCAGCATCGATGGATAAGACAGATAGAAATGTGACTGAACTGACCAACGGGCCAGCCCTTGGCTTCCATAGTACCTGAGTGAAACAAAGGAAGTACAGGGATGATAAGTAGGCCTGTGTTTCCAAGGGGCAGCCGAAGTGCCAAAGCCCTAGGCCTCACTGCAGTGAATAATCCAAGAGGCCTTTTTGTATTTAACTCTATAAATCTTGAGCTGCTTTTTCATCTATCTCTTACCGATCTCTGAAACACAGGTACTGTGGAAAGAGCTTAAGTTTTGGAGTAAAAAGAAGAAAACTGGGTTCTACCACTTACTAGGTTTGTGCTCTTGATTTCATTTCTTCACCCCTTCTAAACCTCAACATACTAATTTGTGAAAGACCTTAAACCTATTTACTGGGATTATGAGTATTTTAAGAGTTAACTGAAAAATGAACATAAAACTCTTAATAACAGGCTCTTAGGATCTCCTGTGATCCTAATTTTGATGTGACAATTCTATATCCTTTACTTTTCATTATTTAATTATAGGAATTTATGATGAAAGTAAATTGGATGGGAAATGGTTGAGTTATTTTTACATGAGTAATTTCCACTTGGAAAAAATGTTTTTGATCATATCCCATCATTTGAGAAAATGTGATATATGTTAAATTCAATATATAATGAATACAGCATTATTAGTAACTAAAATGTTGAGCAAGAAATTTGTTGAATTAATCTTAGGAATGCTTTGATTGTAATTTTTGTATACACTGAATTAGTAAATTCAGGTTGTGGAATTCACAGATCTTAACTGTAAAACTGGATAGGTCTAGACAAGTTTATGTTCCTATATAACCAGCAACCAGTCACAATTATCATTTCAGGAAGTTCTAGAAAAACTTTCTAGGAAAGGCTTATGCCCTTTAGGCAATAGCTACTCTACCACCATAGATTAGTTTCAAATAAACAGTATTAAACAATATGTGTTTTGTTTGGTTTTATTTTGTTTGAGATAGGGTCTCACTATGCAGTTCAGGCTGGCCTTGAACTCACTTTGTAGCCCGGGCTGGCTTCCAACTCACAACAATCCTCCTGCCTCAGCCTCCTGTGTGCTGGGATTACACGCATAAGGAAACATACGTGGCCTAAACAGTATGTATTCTTTTTGTCTGGCTTCTTTTGATCAATGTTTCTGATATTCGTCCATTTTTCAATGTGTATCACTAGTTCATTTTTAAATTGCTTATAGTACTTTATTGTGTGACTATTCATAAATGGATTTTTAAAAATCCATTCTCCTTTAGATTGTGTTGAGTAAAAATTATAGAAAGTCATTGTTTTGGACAAGGATTCAACACAATGAAAATCAAAATAGAGTCACCAAGGCTAAAGTGCAATAATCCCAAACTAAGGTGTTCTCAGATTTCCTGAGAATTCATGAGAGGTAACAATCAAATTCCCCAAACAGGTTGGTTTCAACTGACATGAATACAGTTCTCTCTGCTTTAATTACCAAAAAAGTAGCCTGAAGTTATTTTTCCTTTTTTCTGTCTCCTTATCTCCGCTTTACAAGGACAGGAACTCTGAAATAGCCAGTCCCTGGGTTGTTTCCACTTTATTCAGCTCTTTTCTGTCTATAAAGCCAATCTCCCCTGCTTATGGAAACCTTTACTCCATCTCAATGAATCTCTCAGGTTCCAGAATTGCAAGTAAAGCCAATTAAGAAATGTAAACTGAATGCGTTGTAGTCTTGTTGTCGATGGACATTTAGATTGTTTCCACTTTGAGGCTACTGTGAGTAAAACTGATACAAATGCTCCGTGTAAGGCTTTTGGTGAGCTTATGTGTAAATTTCTCTGGATAAATTCTAGGAGTTAAATGGCTGAGGTCACAGGGTATGTTTATGTTTCACAGTAGGTCTCTAAATTCTTTATCATTTTGCACTGTATCATTTTGCATCAGCAGTGTATGAGAGTTTCAGGTGCTCCTCATCGTTTCTAGTATTTGGTAATGTTTTTAACTTCAGCTATCCTGATATGTATAAAGTGATACCATATTGTAACCTTAATTTGTATTTTTCTAAATTAATGATGCTGATTACATTTTCCTGTGCTTATTAGTCATGAATAAATATTCTTTGGTGGAGTGTCATTCAAATTTTTCTTTAGATTGAGATGTTTTATTTAGTCAGATTATTTATTTGGGTATGAGGGGTTTTTTGGATAGATATCCACATTTTGAATATTTTCGCTCCATGTGTGGTCTGATTTTTGCTTTTTAATATTAAAAATTTTGAGCAATTTTTAATTTTTATGAAATCTAATCTATCATTTTTTTCTTTTAAAATTAGTCCTTTTTTCCATCTTCTGTAAGAAAATTTAAAAATCTGTTAGCTTCAAAAATAAGCTAATGGAAAATAATTTATTTCAACTATAAAACTATTAAAATTCGGCAATTCATTTGTCACAAATTTCAGCCGGGTGTGTTGGTGCATGCCTGTAATCCTAGCACTTAGGATGCTGAGGCAGGAGGATCGTTTCAAGTTCGAGGCCAGCTTGAGCTCAAGGCCAGGTCAAGGCCAGAACTACATAGTGAGATTCTGTCTCAAAAAGAAAAAAAAAAAACAAATTTTATTCTCAACAAGGAAATTATCATATCTCAGAGTTTGCACTATTTTTTAATTTAAAAGAGAATAAAAATTGAAAAACATTAAATACAATATAAAATTTCAAAACAAGATAACAGGAAATCAACAATGGTTGTTATACTGCATATTGTTGCCTTCAAAGTAGTTGTTCAGATTACTAGATATAAGTATGCTCTACTGGTCAAAACAATAGCAAAAAATGTTAAGCATTAACTGTTATTTTCACTAAATAGAAATTAGTATTACAATTATCTTAGCGCTATATATATATATATATATATATATTCTCTTATATATATATATTCTCTTTTATATATATATATATATTCTCTTTTCTTTTCTCCTTTCCCTCATCCCAGTTGTTCCTTCTTTTTCAGGAATTTCCTTCCCTTTCACAATATCTATTGTACTTTTTGGATTTTGGTTACTCTTTCAGTTTATTACACTAGGGAGACAATGTGACGTTTACAAATGTGGGTCTGATTAATTTCACTTATGAATATTGTCTCTAGTTGCATCCATTTACCTATAAAAGTCTCAAGTGTATTTTTCTTTATAGCTGAGTAATACTCCATTGTATAAAAATTCCACGTTTCTATCTAGTCCTCATTTGATGGGCGTTTGCATTGTTTCCAAGTTTTAGCTCTGAATAGTGCTGCTATAAACATGGGTGCACATGTATCGCTGTGGTACGATGTTTTCAACTCTTCTGGAAAAATATGCAGAAGGAGAATAGCTGGGTCAAATGGGACTTCTAATTTAGTTTGTTGAGGAATCTCCACACTGATTTTCACTGTGCTTGTACCAGTCTACACTCCCACCAACAGTGGGGAAATGTTCCTTTCTCCCCACAGCATTGCCAGCATTTGTTATTGAGCTCACTTTGTAGCCCAGGCTGTTCTTGAACTTGCAACTTGCAACGATCCTCCTGCCTCAGCCTCCCAAGTGCTAAGATTACAGGTGTGTACCACCATGCTAGCAACAGCCATTCTTTCTGAGGTGAGATGGAGTCTCACTGTTGTTTTAATTTTCATTTCTCACGTGACCAATGCTGTTAAACATTTTTTATATATTTATTTGCCATTTGTATTTCTTCATCTGAGAAGTGTGTATTCATCTCAGATGCCCATTTTTGGAGTGGGTTTTAGAATTTGGGGGGCCTGATTTTTTTAAAATGCTTTATATATTCTAGAGAGAAGTCCTTTCTCTGAGGAACAGTGGAATAAAAATTTTTCCCAATTCATGGGTTTTCTTTTTATTCTGTTGATGATTTCTTTTGATGTGCAAAAACTTTTCAATGAGATGAGGTCCTAGTTGTTGATTCTTTGAAGTATTTCCTGTGCAGTTTGGTTTTTGTTCATGAACTCTCTGTCTACCCCTATGTCTTCAAGATTTCTACCTATATTCTCTTCCAGTAGATTTAGTGTTTCTGTTTTAATATTTAGATCTTTG